GGGCGGCGGGTCCTGGGGGCTGCGGGTCCTGGGGGCGGCAGGTCGGGTCAGGAGGGAGATGTCTCCACTTGTCCTGGTTTTGTTTTGGAACAAATTGAGCAATAAGTCACTTTATCCGGATGAAACCGATTCCTGACAGGAAATTGCATCACTTGTAAAGTCCGGTTGTGATTGGCTGGAAGCAGGGCGCTGTGTAAGGCTTTGGGTCTGGAGTGGGACGGAACCATTTACCTCAGAGCCCAGTCAGAGAAGCGTGGACAGAGCGACGGCAGTAATAATAACGATGGTCAGGTGAATAGTATTAAAGTTTTCTAGTTTGATTTTCTAACTCCGTCTCCATCTCAGCTCTCATGTCTTTGTGCCTTTTTTATTTTGGGGACAAAAAGGACGGAGCTCCTGGTGTCCCCTGGTCTTTTCCTGCTGTCCTCTCCTCCTCATCAACACTTCTAGAACATTTCAGAGAATTATTTCTAGTTGTGCCTTTCTGTGTCTGTCTGCTCATCAGCCTGTCCGCTGTCCTCCATGTCCTTGTCCTCGTCTCAGTTGGAAGACTCTTTGTGCCTTTCTCTGTCTCTTTTCTCTCTTTGCTGGGACCGTTTGTTGAGGACAGCCAACGCTGTCCCGTGTGGTTAGTTTCAGGTACTACATCAAATTTAATGATATAATATAAATATAGTGAAACATTCAACCTGATGTGGCGTCTTTTATTCCTTCTGTCCTGGATTGGGCCGAAGGTTCTGGTCCATCCAGTCCAGATCAGTTCTTGGCAGCTCAGGACGGAAACGGGCTGAGAAAAATTAGTCGTCAAAAAGAATCGAGACGAAAACCTCGAAGATCAGAGGAACTGATTCCAGAACCAAGAACCACGCTTCCTAATGTTTGGGACCCCCCCTCATGACGGGAAGAATGACCCTTGACCTTAGCCTTGGCACATGAAGCCACAGGTTTTATTCTGAAACTTTTCTGCTTCCTGGAAATACCGACAGATCGATAACTGATTCATCAAATCTGTGTAAAAGTAACATAAAATAACGAAGAAACGTTTACCATCTCATTCCTTCTCATCTGAAGCTTCTGGAAAGTGTTTCTGGAGGGTTCTGGGTCGTCCTGGTTCTGTTCCTGCTGGGCCAGAATTTGGTTACATCATTCATGACCCACATCTCTGGACCAAAGATGGACCCAAACCGCTAAAGAGGATCTAAAATTGGTTGACAGAACATTGCTGGTGACCCGGTCCAACCGTCGCCTCCTGATTCTGAGAAGGTTCTGCTGGTGGAGAACTCCATGGAGTTCCACTAAAGTTCTGACTGTTCAGCTGTGGGGTCCGGAGTCGAGCCCATTCTAGGTTCTGGTTGGATTCCTCCGGGCCTGCAGTGTTTTGCTGATCCAGTATGTGGTCAGAACCACGTGGTGCCGTCTTCAGGGTGTTTCTGGATTCAGAACCAGAATCGGCCTCCAGGTCATCGTACAGAAAACGAAATTGTGTGTGTGTGTGTGTGTGTGTGTGTGTGTGTGTGTAAGCAAGTCTGTGAGCACCGTCCCAGATCAGCCCCTTTATAAATAAGCAGAATGGGTCCCATCGGGACCAGAGGTCTCTGCTTTGACCAGTCTGGTCACAGAAAATTTGATCCATTATGTTCAGAGAGCAGCCGACCCGATCCACGATGAGGAGGAAAACATGGCCGCCTCCGGCCCGGGAAAACATGGCCGCCTGTCTCGATTTTGTTTGTCTTCTGCTTCTTGACTCTTGGAGCAGATGAGTTAGTTTCTGCTGCCTAAGATCTGGATCATGAACAAAACCAGAACCTGGGTCCAAGCAGCCCAGGTTCTGGTTCTGGGCGGAGCTCCATCTGAGGGCTTTTTCTAAAAATGCCCCCTGGGAGCAGAATCGGGTCAGAACCAGAACCCCATGAAGATCTGGCAACTTCCTGGGTTGTTTGAGTTCTGGACATGTAGAAGGAAAATATTCCTGAGAACATTCTNGATTTATCCTCGGATTAAATAATTTAATGGTGATCTGCTGATCTGGAGTTTGTCCCCAGGGGGCGCTGCAGTCCCCAGACAAGCAAGGAAGCCAGAGTCTCGGGTTTTTCTAAAATGTAAAATTTAATTCAGATAAAAACATTTCTATATCAGATGACAGAAAACATTTAAATAGACGCTGGATCAAAAACATTCTCAGGAGTCGTCAGTGAAATGAAACGGCGTCCAACGCCAGCAAAAATACCGCAGTCATTTGTAAAGTTGCAATGAATTAATAAACTAAATATTTAACCCGATGCCTGACAACAGGAAGTGCTACTCTGGATTAATCTGGATTTTTGGTTCAATGTTTCAGAGATTCCTCTTCTGGATTTAAAAGTCACATTTAAAGGAAATTCTTAGGAGGTGAACATGAAGCTTTAGATAAGCAGTGATCAATAATAAGATTATTGATCAGATTATTGAAAAATCTGGAGAGTCAAAGCAGAAACACAGAGAGACAACCTAATCTAGATTAAGGAGTCTGCGTCAGCTCGTTCTAACAGATTAGTATCGTTGGATTATTTAATCCCAGTTAGTTCAACATGGCTGTGTCCCCGACTGTCTCCCTTTCATCCAGAATGACTGGCTGACCTCTGACCTTCCCATTTGCTTATCCAAGTAAATAGGATGTTTCCTTTCATGTGTGTCATTTGAAAAGTTACACAATCAAAAGTTAACAGCAATAATTTGGGCATTTAGCCTCAAGCAATCATAAACTGGCGTCTGAACGAGTGACATGGTGAAAATGTCACTAAAGTCATTTTTCCAGTTGATTGGCTAATTGACCCGGTTTGTTTCTGTTGATTGGTTTCTGAAGCTGCTGGATCATCCAAGATATGGAGAAAATCTTGGATGATGAAAATCATGTTTCGGTTCTGGAGTTTCTGACAAACTAGAGACGTTCATATTTTCACCTCCTCCTGTCGGGGCATTTTTTGCTCTCACTCTTCATATTCTTGGCAGATTCAAACCAAGAAGTTTGTTTTATGGTTGGAAAATAGAAAACTTCCAAAACAAAAAAAAAATCCCTTTCTACTTTTATTTGGATAAAATATATTAAAAAGTATTTCTACCCTTCTCATTAATAGAAACACTTTTACTGGCTTCACATCAGGCCAACCGCCCCAGAGGCTGGAAGGCCTCCGGTCCATCACCCTCATCTTTAGCTCCCTGTCAGATTATTTCGCCTTAAATTAGCCGCACAAATCAGTCTAGAGGTCTAGTCAAAGTTTACAGAAATCAAGCTATGAGGTGAAACAGCAGTGTAAACGGAGGCTGGAGGATCCTGGTTCTGATGAAGATGAGGATGAAGAGCTGTCAGAACCAGTCCTCCTGCTGGGCCAACCGGATCATCTGAAAGCAGGAAGTAGACTGGGTTGGCTCCGGCTCCACAGGTGGAGGTTTACCTGGCAGGTGAGTTCCTCCACCTACTTGTTCATGTTCACGTTCACGTAGTTCTCATCTTCGTCCGGTGTCGAGGCTGCAGGAGATCCGTTTGCTAGAAAAGCAGGAAGGCGAACTTCAGAACCCAGTTCTGAGTAAAGGTTCTAGAAAAAAGGTTTCTGGGTTTCTGTCCCGTCCAGAACGGTCCAGTAGAGAGGCCAGGTGCTTGACTCACCTGACTTCACGTTCTCGTAGTCTGGAGGAAGAAAATAGAGAAGAACTGATGGATAACCAGAACCGGACCCAGAATGTTCTGCTGAGGTGAGACCTTCCAACCAGCGCGAGACCGGCACATGTAGACTTACTGTGATCAGATTCTGAGTCCGAGTCCGAGTCCTGGTCTGGCTCTTCCTCTGGTTTCGGTTCTAGTTCTTGTTTTTTCTTTTCATCTTCTGAAATGAGAGAAGAAACTAAAAGCAAAGAGAAAAAAGAACCAGGAACTTTTTATTCTTTGAGCTGCAAACAGAAACTTACCAAGGTTGACGTAGTCAGCGCTATCTGTGGAGAGAAACCAGACAAGCTAACCACCAGCATCTGAACATGCTAACGAACAGGCTAACACCAGCAACTGAACATGCTAACGAACAGGCTAACACCAGCATCTGAACATGCTAACGAACAGGCTAACACCAGCATCTGAACATGCTAACGAACAGGCTAACCATGAGCCACTGAGGGCCGAGGCTACGAAAGTCTCTCAGAATAACATACATGGCACCGTAAAAACAAAAATGTGAATTTTTGCTTATATCTGTTTAACAACCCTGGTTGTAACAACCTGGGTACCTAATAATTTTTTTGACTTTTGCTCAATTAAATTTCTTACGCATACATGGCAAATGGTACTTTTATTATAGCTGATCATGTTGTTTTTCATGTTTCCTTATTTCTTTTGTTCCTTCTATAATTGATAGAGATATATAGATTATTTATAATGTATAAAAGTATTGTCATTTAATTAGAACTACATCCTTAAGACAATGAAAAAATATGGTGTTTTATAAGATTATTTATCTTTTACGGTGCCTGTTGTCAAGAAAACTGTGGACATTGAGATTAATTGAGTCATTTGATCATTGTAGTTTCCCCTGATTACAATAAAATTAGCGTACATGATTCTAGAGATGTGGTGGCTACTTTCCTTTGGTGAGTGTGAAAATAATGACCCTGGGACTTAAGTCTAAGTCACTAAATCTAATCTAGCCGTAAACAAGTGCCGTTATTTCAGGAAAAGAGCTACCATTAACAGGAGTGTTTGTTGAGGCTATGCAGCTGTGAGAGCTACTCTGCTGATTGTTTCTCGACTGAAAAGGGTTGTAACTTCTGGATTGTAGGTAGTTAGAGCTAGACGAGTCTTTTCCGCCACCAGTTTAAATAGAATATCTCTTATAAACCGACGTTGGGGTAAGACCCGGGTTTCAGAGATTTTCCGGACCTGTTAGACAGAGAACTGGTCAGTAGTCAGTCGAATGAGTGGTCAGATAAGGGCGGGGCTAACTATTGCGTAATAACAAACACTGTAATGCCGAAATTAATAATAAATAATAAAGACTTTGTGGTATTCTGATTTAGTAACGTAATGTGACTAAGGAGCAGATTTCGAAGTTCACCGAAAGCTACAGAATTGCTAAAAACTGTGAGCTGCCATGAAGTAAATAAGAGAGAAGTTCAAATACATTCTGAGAGTGAAACTCCTTCCCAAAAATGAAGATATATCACAGATTTCAAAAGAAAATAAAAACGGATAATATAGGGAATAGCGCCCCCTTCACTTCCAGAGTGCAGTGGTCCCATTTCCAAATAAAGTAAGAGACTGCCAGTGGTCCGTCCCGCCCCTTCCTGTTTGCTGCAGCGAGGTCCTTCTTGGTCAGTCAGGATCGCCGCCACAGTCGGAGGATCGGACGGACGTTTCCTTCTGTTTAGGGTCCCGCTCAGATTGCGCATACCACTAATGGTTTATCTCCATGCAGGAGCGCCGCCAGGAATCTTGGGCTCCATGACAAAAAATTAAATTGGGCCCCCCCTGCGCAACTACTGTTAGTTTCTTGAGTCTATCTCCATATTTGTTAAAGCTGTCAACCATGTTATGACTGTTGCTATGAAACGGATAATTTGTGAAGAGATCAATCTCCTCCCTGAACTACTATTGTTAGCTAAAGTAAGTTCTGACCAAAATCAACCAATCAGAACCAGGAGGAGGGTCTTAGTGTTGTCAATCAACCTCATTCACTCACTGCTAAATGTGCTAATGGCGGAGAAACAACTTATTGTTACAGGAAAAGTTTATCTGTCATCATTGGTAGCTATGCTAACTAAACTAAGCATTCACCGTTTGAATCTGCACAGCTCTGTGCTATGCTAGCTGCAGCATAGCACAGAGTGAGGTGGAGGAAGGATGAGCAGCACCACGAGATTGTGATTGACAGCACTAAAACTCACCTCCTGCCTCTGATTGGTTGTTCCTAGCACTGGAAGAAGGCAGAGGAAATAATTTTTTTCACAAATTATCTCTCATGCCACACTGACAACATAATGACAGTTTTAACAAATGTAAAAATATATTTTTTATAAAAGTTACACACTGCAGCTTCAATCTCACTTAGGAGAGGACGGGTCAGGAGGGACGTGGCAACAGATGTCTGTAATTTAAATGTAAGCTAAGGTAAAACTGTGTGGACTGGCTGCAGTCCAGACAGGAGGCTGTTTTTTATTATCATTTTATAAAGGTTGTTTGACTTTCTGTCAGCAACAAATACATTGTTTTTGTTGTGTAATTGTTTAAACAAACAAACAAACAAACAAACAAAAAGACACAGAGAAATCCCTATGGATTCCCTGAAATGATGCTAACTAGGTTGTCGTTGAACACAGTGTTGCTCAGTTTTTTCACTGGGACGGGGAGGAAGAGGGTTTATGCTGGTATGTGGTTAGAGCTGCTGCTGACTGACTCACCTGTTGTCAAGTGGTAAAAGGTACAGGGAAGAATTAAATATATGAATATGTTGATATTTCTTTTCCTTAATTCATTAAATGAAAACCTGACTATTATTTTTATAGGCAGCATAGTAACTGCCATGTTTCTTGTCTTGTACTGAGCTGCTGAAAACGTCACCGCCAAGCAGGAACGAACCATTTAACGCAGATCCAGGGGGGAGTTCAGTGTAAATATAGATGTGTGCTTTTTGGTCTGGGAGGGGTAACATTTAATTTTTACTGCTAAAAACAATTTTAAAAACACAATAACAGTAATTGACAGGGCCCTTATTTTTTATTTTTTAATTTCTGTAATTTTTCTTTTTTGTGTGTGTGGAGGGCCCCCTGTCGTCCAGGGCCCTTAGAACTGTCATAACTCCCCGCCCCCGTCTCCATGTTTAGACCGAGCATGAAGGAAAACTAGACCAACTCGTTAGCCACTGAGCTAGCCTTCTTTATGCCTGCACGAAAAGCACACTACCGCCACCTCCTGGACATGAAACTATCAAGTTTAAACAGGATAAGTATCACGTTATAACCTGATAGCGTTCGAAAAATGTTTTCCTCCGTGATGCCAATATGCTTCCGTACGAGGCTCTCGTAATTTAACAAAGTATATTAAATGTACATTTTCTAGACCGCGACAGCCCATTGGTTGATCTTATCGAAGGACACTGGGCTTATCCAATGAAATCCCTTCTTGGCCAGCCTTCCCCGCCCCTCTCCTCTGAAATTACAAATGGCGCCATTTCGGCTAACCTGAGTTAGAGAGAAATGAGCGGATTTGCGACGGCGGGCTAGTAAAACCCGCGGGAACAGAAAGTAACGGCACCTCAATCCATCCAGAAAAATGTGTCCGAAACGTTTACCACACGAAGTCTGACCGCTGGAGCAGATTCAGGAGAAGGACGGCGAATTAGCGATTCGGGGGATTTGTTGCTGTCGGAGGAAGATGAGAGAGACGCGACCAGGACCAGATTGATTATCTGCTGCAGCCCGGTAAGAAGGAAATGTTCATGAAGAGGCAGCGCTTCATGCTGGCAGGGGGGCAGGTGTGTGAGGGAGGACAGGTGTGTGAGGGAGGACAGGTGTGTGACAGGACAGGTGTGTGTGAGGGAGTCCGGAAGGGGGAAGCTATAGTAAGCTAGCAGGTAGTCAGAAAAACACATGATGGCGGCCGTGAACACGTTATAAAACAGCTATTAACAGCATTTAGAAATACTTAAAACACTAGAGACATCTTCACTAGATACTATCTGGGGAAGTCGTAGCCAAAATGTGGAAATGTTAGTGTTAAGTTTGCCGTTAGTAATTACTAAAAGTGAACTCCTTGCTCCATGCCTGTGTTGGGGTGTCCACACTTTATGTTAAATTAATGTGTAGTTAATTAGTTTTCTTAGGGTTAAGAATAAAGAATCATAATTAGCTTGTACTGGTGGGGTTTGGATTGAAGGAAAATGTTAGAAAAACTGGCTGGTGAAATGTCTGAGTGACCCGTAAACATTTTTCTCCTCCAAACACTCCTGGTTCCAGCTTACAGTCAAAACATCTGTCTCTGTTTCACGAATCAAAATAAAATGAAGCGAGGTCCATTTGGATCAGAACTCTGGTCTGAAGAGTTTCCAGTACCTAAACTGGGAGTGGAGGCTCGGCTCGGCTCGGCTCCAGGAATGACCTCTCTGCAGAAATCAGAGAAAGAGGGAATCTAGTCAGATTCTGGAGGGAACTCGACTGGACAACAGGACTTGGATCGGATTGGACCTACATGTATCCGTTGCCTTCAGCGTCGCTGTCGGGAAAATCTGTTCCTGTGGAAAAAGATGAAAAAGATTCTCATGTTCTGTAGATCAAAACGATCCATTTCCTCACCTGACTAGTCCCTCACTCGGTCCAAATAACAGGCAAAATTAACCCAAACGAGTCTCCAAGCCGATTCAAACCAGGTCCAAGTGCCAAGATAAGAGCAGCACCCAACAAGTCAGCAGGTGCAGCTCACTAGTTCCTAGTCGTCCCAGTTAGTTTCCTCCCTCTGACTAGGAACAAGATCCAGATTGTGGATTTAGACTGAAGCTAAATCAGTTTATATTCGGTTTAGACTAGCGGTTCTCAACGTGGGCGGTACCGCCCCCCAGGGGGCGTTCAGAGGACGGCAGGGGGCGCTGGCGGACATTTTTACAA